CAGTAGTTATAAAAATCAGTTGGGTATCAAAATTTTAATAAAAAAATGTAAAAAAAAATTTATTTGGAAATAATGCATTAAATGCAATAATAAAAGTGACTCCAAATTTCATAAAAATTTTACTTTAGATATAATTTATTATAAGGAACATGGTTACTTAATACATAAAATAAGTTTTTATTAATAGTTTGATATATAAAACTATTTTTGATTAATTTTAATAATTCTTAAGTGATCCTTTATTTATTGGGAAACACTGTATATCAAAATTTTAATTATAAATAATATTATTAACGTTAAAATAAAGTAAATAAGATGATTGATTTTATAATTAGATTTTTTCAATATAACATAGCAAAACTTGAATCAAACCAGGTTAGGTGGCTTAAACTAGTGATAGAAGTTCTCTTTTTTTAAATCCTATCAAGTATATTAACTTCTATTACTGATAAAAGACATATTGCTAAGCAAAAAGGATAGGCAAACAGGATTAATCTAGATATAGGAATATACGGTATATGGGGGCAAAAGGTTTACGAGTAGTTAATAAATGTAGGTTCCTTAGAAAAAAAGATTTTTTAGAAATTAAAAAGTTGTTAATAAATAATTCCTATTGGCTGAAAAACCCATTTAATTGGAGTAGTACGTATCTTCATTACGTAACGTTACAAGCGCAAAACACGAAAAATCGCGCACGTCAACTTAACCTCGAGAATGCATATCGAATTTCTTCATTGCAATGCGTGTTTTGCGTATTCTTCTTTCGCAGCGCGCGAAGAACAGATTCGTTTTTGGCTAACGGAATGCGGGCACGTAGTTTGTCAAAGTTGTTTGTATAAATGCGATCCTAGCAAAGGTAGTACGTTCTATTAAACCGTACAACATTGACCAAATCACATCAATTTGTTCTAATGAATGGGAAACTTTTAGCTAATTCATCCACGTCCAGCGAACACACATGTCCGGTTTGTAATACGAGGTGTGCTGCCGCAGAGCTAACGGAAAAAGTAAGGAAAATCAAAGATGTTTGTAGATTACACAAGTGAAATAATTGCAAAAATGAAAATGCTAGCTCCCTCCCAATCTTGGTATGTTTTTTCGGCCTGCCCACGAGATTTTCAGCGAGACAGCCGACGTTTTAAAGGTAGACCAACCACTTTTTACTCTTTAAGTTAGTAATTAAATATCAACTTACACCGTTGCTCGACTTAAATGAATAGTTTCAGCAAACAAACACGTTTTCCCTGTTAGGATTTCTTAAAGAAAAGGTGATCAAGCAAAAACAAATGCTTGATAAGATGAAGAACGAATTAATTCAACATAAAGACATGAAAAAGTAATTGATTTGATCTAGTATTACGTTATGTTCGCAAAAAACGACTTTCAGGTCAGTAAACGTCTTATATTAAGTCAATTGCAGGCCCTCAAGAACGAAAATCAACGGTTGAAAGATCAACTGCTGGAAGCACGCAGAGAGAGGACATCAGGATCGCCTTTGCGACTTGATGTTAGGTTGGTGGACATTGATTGTTTTGTGAGATTACTATTGATGTTAATAGACCCTTTATTCAGCCCGCAAGCGCACTCCAAGTCACCGAACCATGACCATACTTACCGGACACCATCGAAGAAGGTATTTTTATTTTATTCTCGTATTTTACGCACATATTTTTCTTGAAATATTCGGTATGATTAGGTTTTTTTTCTATTTATTAAATTACCTAGCCGAGGACACCGAATCCTCCGTCACGCCTGTCGCTTTCAGCCACCAATTCTCCGGCGCGCGCTGCTTACGGTCAAGAGCCATGTTATAACAGGAGCGACACGACATTCGAGAACCGACCATCGTGGGATGATGGTGACGGAAACCACAAAGGATTTGATGGAGGTGGAATTTCTAATAGATCAAGGTAAATGATCTTATCATCGTGTGGTAATTCCAATTTCAAACTTCAAAAAAAAAAAAAAATCATATACATTATTAATTGAATAATTCGATCGAATGCCTTTAGATATGAACAGAGGATTGTGCCACTACCACTTAATAACTCGCCTGCACGTTTCGCGGAAAATAAATTCGAACAATATCCTCAGCACCAGTCGGTTCAGTCATTTTCTAGGTCTTGCACGGCGTCCAGTACGCGCATGACTTGGAGTGAATTGCATAATACTGGAAATGTCTTGCGACCGGCCACACCAAGGATGGTCAATTCAGGTAGGCGGCTTGCTACATGCCGGATATTTTTTCATAAATGTCTATCAATGGAAAATCCACTTCCCGCATTCTAGGGGCAAGGACGATTGCGAGTTTTCCACTAGCTCGAACATCGCGACCATATAAAAGACCTCACCCATCTTCACATAATGACTTCGCGCCCTTTTCAATGTCACATCCACCAAGAACTCCTATTAGCAGGAACAGAGGAGCACTCCCAGGATACAAGTGATTAGACGTGCCACACAATAGACTTTTTGTAAAAATTAACAAAATTTTATGATTTATACGTGCCGTGAGACTTTGTTTTATAAACCTAAGAACCTTTGTCAGGAACATTCGCGGGTCGAACACTTATTTTTTAAAAATATGATTAATCAACCAATATATGCCTTTTTTATTATCAATTGGTGCTTAATACTCAAATTGTATTAAAGCGCGAAAAAATCAGTAACTGGTTTACCTCAAAAAAAAAAAAAAAAAAAAAAAAAAAAAAACAATACAAAATGGAAAAAAGAATCAAGTAACGAAGTTCGGAAAGTAAGTTTAAAAGATTAACACAAGGGAACTAACTCAGTAAATGTTCTATTTACATTCTTGATAGCATTCGATAACACTGAATCGCAATATGATTGTTTCAAGAAACAAAGCAGACAAAAGCTTGTAATTCTAGTAGTTGGTATGTATAGATCTTTAATGAAACTAGATTAAATTTTGTTGTGAGTGGCAGGCGGTGCAAAAGTTAATCGTTGCTCATAGAATTTGATCATCTGTATAGTTTATTAGGTACGCATGCATCCGATAAGTGAATTTTCATCAGCCGAAAGAAAATGGAATATCGATATCGCATACCTTTTGAGGACATCTCATATTAACATCCTTCGCGGGGTGCCTCGATGTCTCACCATTATTCCTGGGAAGTGACATTGGCGTTAAATTATGCAAGAAAAAAAAAAAAAAAAAAAAAAAAAAAAATTTCAAATACCATTTGAGGTAAACGAGTAAATCCCCTGTTTTGTCATCTCGAGTGACAGTCTCAACTGCTATGACTTGGTCTTCCCAACTTTCTAAGGAGGCCTGCAGACTATCATCGTCATCATCAGGTCTAATTCTTGATGCTCGAGGCTTACTTGAAACGCGAGATCTCTTGGATTCTTTGAACGAAGTTGTAGTGGATGCAGGTGCAGAACGTTTTCGTCCCGTCCCTTTGCGTTTCGATGAAGTTGCCGATGCTGGCTGTTCATCTTTATTTTTTGACCAATACTCTTCCAAGAGTTCTGCGGCGTAACTTTATGAATTTGAACACAAAGGATTATTTCATAATTCTTACAAATAAGTTACGTTATCAGTGACCGTTGGCAAAAAAAAACGATTCATACACGTCGCCTTCATTCTCCCAGGTGCTTTCTTCAATCGTGAAGCCTGAATAGACAAGTAATTTTTAGGTTGAAAAGGTATAGGGACCGTGAAGTTCACTTGAGATGTTGAGGAACAATCGTTCATTACCTTTCCACTTGATGTGATACTTGAGCCCGCTCTGGAAACAAGAAAAAAAATTATAAGAGACCCCTTCTATTTAAAAAAAAGAAAATTTCTTCCTTTTTTATAGGGTAATAAATCGGACGCGTTTGATGCATGCCTTATTCCTTTTGTGACCAAGGATAGCTTCGACTTCGAAGACTTCCTCACCTTCCCCCTCCTTCTTTTCGCCCTCTTCATTTTCCTCCTTCTTTTCAGCATTTCCGTTAGCATGTCCTAAATCGGTTTTTTCTGACTGTTCAGCGATTTCATTTTCTGCCGAAGGAGGTTGATTGCTCTCGAGATCTTGACCCTTGTCGGTCTCATTTTTTACTTGTTCAGTGGATAAGTCTGTATTTTGCGCTGAGATTTCGAGTGTGGAAGAGGAAGTGGTTGTGGTGGTTATGGTGGTGGCGTGTACTTCGGTAACGGAAGTTCCACCTTCAACGCCATCATAATTTAAAAACTCATCACCGAGCTCGTTGGCCATTTCCTCTTCAGACTTATTCTTTGACATTTTGTATCTTTTCTCTGGTTGGTATCAAAAAAGGTTAATCAACTTTACGCCTGATTTCCAAAAATCCAATTGATAGGTGCGGCTCTCCGATAATACCAAGAAACAAATTATCATATTTGATTATTGGCGCCGCAGGGACTGGGTGATAAATTACCTTTAACTATAAAAAATTCAAAGAGTCACTTATAAATATTTAAAGAGTGTCAAATCCGTGGAAAAGTCAACTGGGCAATTGTAAATAATCGTAAACAAACGTGAGATGTATAAATATTCTACACACATTTATATAAGGTGTGTGCCATCGCAGAAAAATACCCATGTGACGCGATTACGTCACAGAAATTTTTTTCATTTCACATGATACACATAAATATATATATTATTTATCGTGACACACAGCGTCCATGGT